GCTGGCAGAGCAAAAAGACCACAGTAAGAGCTAAGAAAACAAACAGAAATTAAGAACTCAGACACTGATCTCAGGTGAGATGGTAGGGCAGGGAAGAGGGAAGAGTGAAATCTAGAGAAAAAAATGGGCTGAATTCTGTCAGGGCATGAGTTTGGTTTCTTGTGACTATGCAAGTAAAATTATACAAAATTTAGTAATAATCTGTTGATGTAAAAATATTTTAGGTATTTAAAAATATTTCTTAATGTTCTTAATCAGGACTGCTTCTAAAACTCAGTGAGTTTCAAATCAGTGTTTTCCTTGCAAAATCTGAAACCCAAACCTGCGAGGACCATGAAAAGATGTCAGTCCAGCCTTACAGTCCAGTCTAAGATAAACACATTAGCAGTCTACAATAAAGATTGTAAAGTAATTTTTGTTGACAGTCTGCATTTAATTTTTTCCAGTTTCCTAATGAAGTAACAAGAGTAGGTATGTTACCAGCTTAACTACTAATGTGTTTACTTTACTTCTAAAGAAGGGGAGTGGAGCAAATATTATATCCCAGATGAAAAACAAAGCCTTCAGCTTTGCTTAACCTGAACTAGAACCCCATATATTACAGTAGCTTTTTCAGGTAACAATGAACAATCCATCAAAGAACATAACCTAAAGCTTTCTTGTGCTACACTTGACTATAATGGAAACAGTGAATGCCAGATGGCCTTTTCATTGTCTCCTGATCTGGAGAACCTGCTAACAAGGGCACCTTTCAGAAGTGAATTTCTGAAGTTAGCTATCCATCTCAGTACATGCACAGCAGACAGCACCCACTGTAAAGTACACTGTTTAAAATTATTACCTCTGTAAAAATAATCTGCTCAGCATTCCATCTGCTTTGCACCAGTTTCCCCATTCCATGTGATTTTATTGCTCCTCCTATTGCAATACCTTATAACCAACCTGGTTATTTTTAAAGAGGTTTTTTAGGGCCGTGACTCGTGCACTTTGTCTTTCACCTTTGAATTTAAAACTGTGGGTTTGGATACCAACCAACCACATGTACATTAATGCACATTGCTGCATTTGCTCTGGAAACAGAATGACCAAAATGCCAAGACAGTAAAGGGGGTATGCAGCCAGTCACGTGTATTTGGTTATCAATACATATACAATGTGAGGGTTTTTTTCCAGAAAAAAAACAAACCCCCTCACTCATTAAGGGACAGAGCAGACCTTCTAGCATGTCTCTTTGGTTCCTGACCCGTCTACATAGTTTCAGTTTACAAAAGTTTCTTTGTACTACTGTTTCAAAAGTTTCTCTGTGCTACTTTTTACAACTGCCTCGTGGGAAATTAACTGTATTTTTATATTGCTAGGATTATGATATACACGTCCAGGTTACATGCCAGGTGGGGCACAGCTGCAGGTACACGGCTGTTGGGCTGGGTCAGGCTGTGGGGCTGCAGCCCCTCGCCTGCGCACTCAGGGGCACAGGGCATTAGCGACAGTGGACAAGGAGGTGTGTTGGCTCTGCGGGCACCCAGCCTTACGCCAGCAAACCTTGGCTTACCCCGGCGGGAGTCCCCGCAGCTCCCCTCCCGCGGCCTTCCCCGTGCCCCGACTGCCCCTGCCCTTCCCCGGCCCAGCGGGCCCGGGCTTACCGCGAGTCTCGGCGGGAGCAGCAGCAGCGCGGCCAGGCTGAGGAGGAGGCGGCGGAGCGGCTCCATGGCTGCACCGCGGGGCCGCACCCCCCTCACGGCGCTGCC